TAAATTGAATATTTTGTACTCCTACCCCTTTAATTCTTACATTCCTTCAATTATCAATTTTTATATTATTATTGTGTTTTATATATATTTTTTCTTTTTTTTTTGTACACAATATTAAAGTGACCACTGACAAGTATTTATTTATCTAACCTCGATTATGTACTTCAAACAGTAAAAAATACAACAAAAAAACAAAAAAAACAAAAACAAAGGAGCACTCCTACTTTTACTACAGTGCTTTTCGATACCTCTTTAAAATAATTTCTTTGTACATTTTTTTGAATAGGAATATGTTTGGCATTGTTTTAGGTTCTCATTTAGTTTATTCCACAATTTTACTCTGCAAATTTATAAATATAATCTTTTCCTTGTTGTTCTAAATCTATTAGTCTTAAAATTTCCCCTTCCCCTTAAATCGTACCCTCCCTCCCTCTCAGAGAACATCTTTTGCATGTTCCCAGGCAATAGGCTATTTCTTGCTTTGAACAGTTGAAGTACCAGCTGATGTCCAGGCGCTAAGCATCAGTGCTGTCATCTTGTATAGCGGATTTGCCACTCAGACACTCAGGTATACAAATATTACACACAGAAGACAAAACACAAAAATTGTTAAGGAAAAAATAATGAAAACGCCCAATAAAATTTTGTAATTTCTTGGTATGTAACTGTTTATGTGATTTTCGACCTGTTTTGAGAAAGTTGACTCCTGCAGGGAACGGCAGTGCTGTGTTTGCCTCCTGGTCGTCGCCAGGGAACAAACGATGGTCAAAATCTGGAGGAAAACTGCTGCATTATGTGTTAGAATGGACACGTGTACCTGCACCTGGGTCTGTATCTGTACTGTGGCAAAAACTGGCCAAAGATCAAAACAACACATCCATCACAGGTGAAGAGAGACGAAACAGACCCTGTCTGCACCCACTGGAACACACACACACAGAAATAAAACAGAGCTTGGTAATTAATCATAAAATAGGCACAATATGATTTATCCATAACTTGGCACGTGCATTTATGAATTCAAACTCAAACTTAGACTTAAACTGGGATCAAACAGTGGCGTCTTGTGGCCAGTTTGTGAATTACACTAGTTGTAAAACTTAATAATATGATACTCAAAATACAACAGAAGGCTGAGTTCTTAAGCAAATTTGAATGTTTGTGAAATATAGTGACATTCATGGTGAGAGTAGTTTAGTTTTTCCTGTATTGTTTTAGGTCTGACTGCAGGTGTGAGGTACAGTATCTCTCTGTACGCTGTGACCACCAGAGGTCTTAGTGCTGTTCCTACAATTTTAAGTTTAATGAATGATGAAAATGTTTCAACATCTGAGTTCATCATGTGATAGATTTTGTACATTTCTCATATATATGCTCAATAGTAATCATCTTGTCTTACTATGTGTTTCAGAGCCAGGATCCAGTCCCAAAATGTCAATACTGGTCCACAAAGCCAGGCGGATCTGGATCCAGTGGGACGAGCTGCCTGTAGACCAGCAGAGAGGCTTCATCACACACTACACCATCTATCTCCAGATACTGGACTCCAACAACACAGAAGTCAGCGGTGAGCAGTGGCACCGTGTCCTTTTGTGTGTTTGTCTTAATATAGCTCAAACAGCAGGAAATAAAGTGGAGCTATTTTCATAATTAATTTATCATTGAATAAACTTTTTCTAGCAAAATGACAAACATTCACATGTGCATTTTTTTAATTCACAAGGACTAGCTGCTTTTCAGAATCAGAATCAGCTTTATTGCCAGGTATGTGTACAGAAACGAGGAATTTAACTCAGGATTATACATTGCTCACGATGTGCTTACTTATACAACAATAATACAATAATAAAATCAGACACAGGCTACAGTATAGAGAACACATATATACACACCATAAACAAAAACAATATACACCGATTGAAACATGCAGTAGTCAATTATTATTACCATTATTATTATCATTATTATGTACATGTCAGATATACACGTACACATGCAACTAGAGAATGGTGAATAAATAATAAGTGGTAACCAGTAAACAGGAGGCTGATTAGAGACAGAGTTACTGGGTTATTGCACAGGAATTGTTCCTGATACCATGAGTCAGAAATCAGCTGTTCAGTGATGGCTTGTGGGAAGAAACTGTTCCTGAGTCTGTTGGTTTTGGTGTACAGTGCTCTGTAGCACCTACCAGAGGGGAGAAGCTGGAACAGGTTGGGTCTGGAGTGAGATCGATCTGTAGTGATGTTTTACTGCCCGTTTCCTGACTGGAAATGTACTAGTCCTGAATGGAGGGCAGGTTGGCACCAATGATCTTTTCTGCAGTCCTGACTGTCCGTTGCAGTCTGCTCCTGTCCTTTTTAGTGGCAGAGTCGAGTCCGCGAGATTCACCAGAGACGTTTTGAAAACACACCCGAATTGAGGAGACGAAAGATAAAAGACATTTCACATGACTTTTAATCAAGAATGTACAGATTTTTACATGTACATTCCTCCCACGGGCAGTTCAAAACCAGAATATCTCATAGATCTCCAATATGCTAGCTGGAGCTCACGTTTCTCACTTAACAACAGAAAGTAGGAAAGTGGTAGCTCTGTAAGAGGAAATGAAAGAGAAGAGGAGGCATTACAGCTGTTCATTTGTTATGATGTGTTTATTATAAAATTGGTTAAGACTACACTTCATCACTTCAAGCTACACTTTGTATTAAATTTTTTCTAAAAATTAGGCACTTTAGTTTACTTAAATTTAGAATTTATTATTTGAATAGTTATTATTTATTATCCCTCCAGTTTGATGTGAAAACTGACTGAAATATTATTTGATTTGACAGTCCGTTGTTGACTAAAAACATGTGTTGATACAACTATAGGTTATAGTACTGAATGATAACGCAAGTTCGTCGTTTTGATGTTCCGGACCTTTGCTTCAGGAAATTTTCTCTAACTAGACCTCTTTGAAATCTAATTGAATACCCCTGGTGTAGAGGGAGAAGAGCAGGGGGGAGATCACACACCCCTGGGGGGCGCCAGTGCTGATATTCCGGGTGCTGGATGTGATGTTCCTCAGCCTCACCTGCTGACTCCTGTCAGTCAGGAAGTCTGTGATCCACTGACAGGTGGAGGCTGGCACAGTGAGCTGGGTGAGTTTGGTGCTGAGGATGTCCGGGATGATGGTGTTAAACACCGAGCTGAAGTCCACAAACAGGATCCTTGCATATGTCCCTGAAGAGTCGAGGTGTTGCAGGATATGATGCAGTCCCAAATTGACAGCATCATCCACTGACTGAATATGGATTATGTTGTAAAGAAAGTTCAGGAAGCCCAGAAAGAAATCTCAATCCATCTTTGTTGCAAGAAAGAAAATCAAAGAAGAAACATGTTTGAAATTGTACAATCAAAGGTTAGAAAGAGTGAAAACCTTTACATTCTTGGGGTTTTGGTTTGATGTACTGCTTACATGGAAAAATCATTTTGATAAAGTGGAAGATAATGGAAGAAAGTTTGAATATTATGAGGTGTTTAACAGGCAATGTTTGGGGAGCTGATCGAGTGGTGTTAAGAAATATTTATATTAAATTAATTAGATCAGTTCTAGAATATGGATGTATAGTTTTTGTATCAGCTGCTAGTACATCATTAAAAAGGTTGGATAAAATTCAGGCCCAAGCATTGAGATTATGCTCTGGAGCAGTAAAGTCAACACCAATATCAGCACTTCAGGTGGAGGTTGGAGAAATGCCACTGATTCTAAGAAGGAAGCAGTTGAGGGCAAATTATTGAGCTAATCTACAAAGTCAAAAGGACACACATCCTACAAAAAGGATTATGAATGAAAGTTGGGAAAGCAGCAAAATTAAAATGGAGGTATTTAGCAATTTAATTTTGGATAAAGTACTGTAGTTAGGAATCAACGATTGGGTCGTTAGTCCAACTGCTTTAATGCCAGCTGTTCCAACATGGTTATTACCTCAGCCTAGTTGATCTCTCTCTACTGAAACAGGTTTGTTCAAGTAAAAACATTTTAGATATGCAAGCTTATGTGAACACTATGCTACATGAGAAATATGGGTACTGCGTACATTTATTTACGGATGGTTCTAAAAATCCAGAGAACGGAAAATCCAGCTGTGCTTTTTACATTCCAGAATTAAAAATTAAGGTGTTTAAAAGATTAACTGATCATTTATTGGTGTAGCAGAAATGATGGCAATCTTGTTAGCATTATAGTGGATAGAGGAAGTCAAACCCATGAGAATGATAATTTGTTCAGATTCAAGCGCAGCTCTGGCTAGTCTCAAAAGTACAACGTCAAAATGTAGGGAGGATATTATGTTTGAAATGTTGTTATCTTTATACAGAGTTAGTAGTCTGGGGATTGATGTTCAGTTTTTATGGGTCCCAGCACACATTGGAATCCAAGGGAACGAGATGGCAGACACTTTAGCTAAAAATGGGATGAAAGTAAGTCGGGTAGAGGTGGCAGTACCAGTTAGCAAAGTAGAGATCAAAGCATGCTATTTATGGGATAATGGAAATAAAGGAAGACATTTATACAAGATTCAGCAGAAAGTGGGGGAGGAAAAGTCATTGGGGAAGAGCAGGAGGGAACAGTGTCAATTTAGTAGAATTAGACTTGGTCACAGGAAGTTAAATGCACCTTGTTGGAAAACATCCATCTGGAAATTGTGGGACATGCAGTCAACCGGAAACTGTGGAACATGTGCTGTTTGAGTGCACTAACTACTCAAACGAAAGACTGATTTTAAGAAATGGACTGGACCATTATGGAATTAAACAAATGGTCATCAAAACTATTTTCTCAAGTAACTCCGGAAATATAGTCCTTAAACACATCTCAACTTATTTACGACTGAACACAAGGATTTAAGCATATGTAACTATGATACAGTAGGTGGCGATAATGTTCCATCTGGTTGCAAGTCACCAGTAAAAAGAAGAAGACATACCCGCAGGAAGAAGTAGTATGTTTTGCGCCTTTATTTTGAAGGTTAAGCACGCAAACCGGATGTCTTCTCGATACCAACGTTGTTTACTAGAACACTCCGTTTATTTACCTGACTGAGCTCTGTTCGGTCGCGATATCGCAGTTAACACTGAAAATTAAATAAGACAACAAATGGAGACAATACACAAAGTACTCGGCTTGGAGTGGATGGACGGCACGAGTCTTTTAATATTTCTGTGTGTTTTTCTGTTGTTGACTGATGTTTTGAAGAACAGAGTGCCGACCAACTTTCCTCCTGGACCCTGGGCTCTTCCTTTGATTGGTGACCTTCATCGCATCCAACCCTCCAGACTTCACCTGCAGTTCACAGAGGTAAGGACAGAAATGCAGTATAAGAACTATTATTGGGAGTGTCTATGAGCTACAGTCCAAGTCAAGTCTCAAGTCAGTCGGTGTTAACGTATTTAATGAATGTTGAATCATCTGCTGAGTGGAATCCAGGCTGCTTAGGCCATAAAACTGCATATAAGCTTAAAACTGTATAGAAAATTGAATATAAGATATAAGGAATTCTGTCACTGTAACCTGTTTACTACTTAAGGTTACAATGAATTTCTGTAATGTGCAATGCAATTAATGACAGCTTATAAACTCTCAAACCTGTGTAGCCTAAAGGTAACTAAATAACAACAACAAACCTGTTACATGTTGCAGCCAACAATAATTAACGTGATGGCATCCAGCTTGACATAAATTACGTTAATCGACTAGCACAAGTTTGGCAAGCAAACAAACGCTGATTCACCTTTCCGTAACGAAGACAGTCGGGGTTAACCAGGGAGGACGCTAGGATTGAAAGACAGGGGGGGCTTAGCCCCCAGGTTATGGGTAACTTGCCCTTGCTAAATCTTTGCAATCTTTTGTTACTGCATTAGAACTACACTTATGTCAGCAACCAGTAAATAAGCCTATATGTTAACAGGTAAAAAAAGTGACAGACATATTCTCTTCTTCCATTTCTCCTCTGTTGAACAAAAGTTACGTAATGTTAGCTTTCAGAGACATCATAGTTGCAAGGGGGGAATTCATTTAGACCAGACTGAGTTCTTCTGTAGGCTATAAGCCTAAAGGTCCAGAGAATGATATTAAATTACACTAATTACTTTTACTGTACTGTAGATTGGTTCATATAAAAAAAATCACACGGGTACAAACAAATAACACAGAAGACTGGTAAGCTAACATTTCATAAAGTCATTTTAAATCATTTTCACAATCTAAGAACATTTACATATTAAGGCATCTGCCTCTAAGTCTTTCATTTTGGATTTAAATGCATTTAGATATCAAGGTACAATAGCATTAACAGTGACACTATGACATTTGGTATTCACTGAAAACAACATTCTATGGGGACTGATATTGTTTTAAAACAGGCTAGTAGAGATAGGTAATTTTAATGGCATTCACATTATCAACACTAGTGTTTTCCAAAGCTAACTAAAATATCCCCTTTCCTTTACCTCAAGTAAATGTAGCTCAAGTTCAGCAAGTAACAGTCACTAACAACAACTTACAGTTTCACTCTGTATTAATCAACGCTACTGATCGCAACAAAGCTCCGGTGACTACGCTAACCGAGATAACTCTGCCCCATGAGGACTGCACACTCCTTAAGAAAGCGAACAAGAAGATTGCTGACCTTATGGAAGACATCCGACGACTTTCAGAGGAACTCAAAGAGAAAGATTCCCTGCTGACTGGCTTTATGGATGTGGCTTCAGTACAAGCCAAACAGATTGTTTCTCTTAGCACAACCGCTAACATCCAGGACACCGTGCTTTGGGACCCCTCTAGCCTTCCGAGGCTTTCATCCTGCTCGACTACGAAGCATCAGTCAACCAGGGCTGAAGTGGTGGTCCGTGGCTTTAAGAGAGGCTCGGATGGGGCTGCCTCTCCTCCACACATCGGCCTCTCCAACCACTATGCAGCCTTGTCTAACGACACTCCGGTCCATCCAGCGGATGCACCTGCGGCTTCGCGTCTCCCTGATACGGATCTCTTTCGGCGCACAGTGCCTGCCGACACTGTTGCATCTCCTCCACCGGCTACATCTCCTGCACTGGGCCGCCGGTTGCCGCTGGGCCTGATCGGCGGCCGTCATCCCGGTCAAAAACCTTCACTTCCCGACGTAGGATCCTGAAGGAGGCTGTGCTCAGACGCTCCGGAGGCCGTCTCTACCCTGCACCGTTGGGTAGCCCTTCTCTCAGGTCTGTTACTGCTACTCCAACACAACACTCGGCAGCTCACACACTCCATCCTCAGTCCGCACGCAGTGTTGAAGCAGATTCTGCTCAGTCCTGCTCTGGAACCACACAACCGGCATCTCCTCGTCCTCTTTTCTCCCCAACCACACTAATAATTGGTGACTCCATAACCAGAAACATCCGTTTCTTTAACGCTACCACTCGCTGCTTCCCCGGTGCCACCACGACTGACATTTTAAAAAAAACTCCAGGACCTAATGTCATCGCTCCCGTCCTCCATCACAAGAGTGATAGTCCATGTCGGAACAAATGACACAGCTCTTCAGCAGTCTGAACTGACAAAATCAGATTTTAACCGTCTTTTTAACTTTTTAAAGCAGTGTGGAAAGTCCGTTTTTATCTCTGGTCCCATTCCCACAGTTGGTTGCGGTGCTGGCCGCTTCAGTAGACTCCTTGGCCTCCACGACTGGCTCCAGTCCACCTGCAGGGCTCATCGTGTGTGTTATGTGGATAATTTTAATATTTTCTGGCAAAGAATGTCTCTTTTTAAGACAGACAGACTTCATCCAAACAAACGGGGCTCAGAAATGTTAGCTGCGCACATACAGCATGTGGTGCGGTCCACACATGACTTACGTGAATGACAGCACACCTGGACACACCACCGGCCACTGAACAGATCTCTGCCTCACTGCCACAAATAACTGTCTCCACCTGCTGGCATGTAAAGCCGTCTGCTCCCAGAGCTGTTCCACAGACTTCTATTCCTGTCATCATCACGCATAGACCAGTTAACCGAAATGTGCACATCCCACACAGAAATATTAGTAATCTCTTAAGGATTAGGACAACTGCACCAACTCCAGCACCCAGAACAAACTCATTTAAAATGACTCTCTTCAATGTGAGATCACTTTCAAGTAAGACTTTTATCTTAAATGATTTTATCTTGTCTGCAAATCTAGATTTTATGTTTTTAACTGAATCCTGGTTGCAGATGAATGACTATAGCCAGCTAGCTGAACTGTGTCCGCCTCAATATGATTGTTTTAGTCAACCGAGCGTCAGTGGTCGTGGTGGTGGGCTAGTGAGCGTGTATAGGGAAAATTTAAAATGTCATCAAGTACGCAGTGATGAATTTAACTCCTTTGAAGTTCTCACTCTTAAACTTGGAGGGCTGCAACCTATCATATTTGTTATAATTTATCGCCCCCCAAAACCGCCCGGAGGATTTTTATCAGAACTTCCTGAATTTTTATCTACTCTGGTTTTAAATTATGACAGAATTGTTCTTTGTGGCGATTTTAATATTCATGTTGATGACCCCAACAATGTTAATGCAACTAACTTTTTAAATATGGCCACTTCTTTTAACTTCAAACAACATGTCAAAGGGCAAACCCATAACCGTGGTCATACACTGGACTTGGTTTTTACCCTGGGTGTCAGTGTTTCCTCTGTGGAATTGGTGGACATGACCATATCTGACCACAGATGTATTGTTTTTAGCTACAATTCGCCTGTTACTCATGCCGCCTCACCAAGCTCCATGTGTTCTCGCTTCTTTAATGAACAAAGTGTTTCAAAGTTTTGCACATTCTTTCAGAGCCAAAGCCAACACCTGTCTGATTCCAACACCAACAATCTGGTCGATCACTTCAATCATATCTGCTTGTCGTCACTAAATATTACTGCTCCTCTAAAGGTTAGGCCTACGTCTAAAGCTAGTAAGCAACCCTGGATAAATGACAGCATTCGCAGCCTCAAAAGGGAATGCAGGAAAGCAGAGCGCAGATGGAAAAAATCCAGTCTCCAAGTCCATTACCTCAGTATGAAGGATTTATTAATTAACTACAATAACATGGTTAAGGATGCGAGAACACACTATTTTTCTGAACTCATTACTACACATAAACACAATCCCAGGTTTCTGTTTAAGACTGTGGATCAGCTGGTAAACCCAACCCCTCCTTGTGCCTCAGCTGGAAGTAATGATGACTGTGAATTGTTTTTATATTATTTTACCAATAAGGTGATGTCAATCAGAGCCTCTATTACCCCCACTGCCTCTTACTCAGAGGTTCCTCACCAGCAACAAGAGAGTTTTAACCAGTTTAATCCCATCGACTTGTCTGAGCTTTTAAAAACAGTAATACAAATGAGAGTGTCCTCCAGCCCACTTGATGTAATACCTACAAAATTTTCTGTTGGGCCCCATTTGATCTCTGTTTTCAACAGCTCCCTATCTACTGGTTGTGTCCCTGAATATTTTAAAGTGGCTTGCGTGAACCCACTTTTAAAGAAACCTGGTTTAGATCCCTCCCTCCCACATAATTTTAGACCAATTTCAAAACTGCCTTTTATTGCAAAGATTCTAAAAAGTCCAAACAGCTGCTCACTGTACTGGAAAATAACATAATATTTGAAAAGTTTCGGTCTGGTTTTAGGAAGTACCACAACACTGAGACTGCCCTGCTTAAAGTCACCAATGACCTTTTAATGTCTGCTGATGAAGGCATGTCCTCAGTCCTGGTACTCCTGGACCTTAGTGCTGCTTTTGACACCATTGATCACAACCTCATGTTAGACAGACTGAGGCACTGGGTGGGGATCTCTGGTACTGCCTTAGCATGGTTTTCATCCTACCTGTCAAATAGGAAGTTTTGCGTGTCTGTAAACAACTATGTCTCCTTGTTCTGTCCAGTTAAATATGGTGTGCCTCAGGGGTCGGTCTTAGGACCCATTTTGTTTTCCTTGTATCTGCTTCCCCTTGGACATATTATCCATAAACATGGCATTTCTTTTCATATTTATGCTGATGACACACAAATATACTTGCCCGTCAGATCCACAGACCCTGGAATGCTGAGTTCACTTAACAACTGCCTTTGTGAAGTTAAAAAATGGATGTCAAATAATTTCAAAATCAACTTAGAAATATAGCTAAAATTCGATCTATGTTAACTTTTAAGGACACCGAGACCATTTTACACTCCTTCATCTCATCACGCCTGGATTATTGCAACAGCCTTTTCACCTGTTTAACCCAAAAATCTATTGATCGACTCCAGACTGTCCAGAACTCAGCTGCCAGGCTTTTAACCA